CCTTAAATCATTTTCCATAGCAAAGGCATGTGTTCTGGTATTTTACCTCAAGAAATACTTCAGTAGATCAATTAAGGAGAACGCAAATCTATAGTAAAGGCATGCGTTCTAGTATAATTTTATGTCAAGAAATATTGTAGTAGATCGATAATTGGATATTGGTGGAGGCATCAGCCTTTGTCATTACTCCTGCGCGGCGCCGGGGCTCGCGTGCCAAATAGCATCACTGCATGTTTATTTATGTATATTTATTTAAGAAAAATATCTTTAAGACCGAAAACATGGGACCCGAGTAGGCAAATTTAATGAGTGTGATGTACGTGGCAACTCGTGATGTACTTGGTAAATCATGTTGTTCCCATAGCTCATTGGTTGGACATGTGGACACATGCATCTTGTCTCCTTTCGTACCTACCGATAGTAATAAGTGGGAGGCCCCCATATCTCAATTATTGGTTACGCGGACGGACGCATGCATCCGGTGACCTGTCTCCTTTCGGTACCGAACAACAATGAGACGCAAGGGAAGGGTTTTTTTTTTCGTTGAGTTATTTCAATATTAGTCCCTCAATCTCAATATTGTTAGACCCTAGAGGGGGTGATTAGGGTCTTATGCTAATCTAATCCGATTAAATGCTAATTAAACTAATTAACAAATATATTCTTGTAAGATAAATATACAAAGAGTTATGTGCAAGAATATGCAATATACACAAGGTGATATATCCTATATGATAGAAAAATATGTAAGGATATATAAACAATAAGATATATCCTAACAAAGAGATATAGACAATATATGTGCAAGGATATATAAACTCAAGGGTAAACAATCTAAACTAGATAGTGGGCAATATAATCAACAAGCAATATACAAAGGCGATATAAGATAAGAACATAAAAGTAAGTGCGCTAATGAAATCACAAACAAACAATATGATTACGGAGTTCGGTCCCCACGACCTACGTCTCCGCTCCTCACCTCGAGGAGATCTCCACTATCACAACCGGGTTTTCTACGTTCACCCGAATAACGTTTACACCACACAATACAATCACTATGCAATCACACCTCACACACTAAGTGTTGGTCCTAGCCCGTGTCCTCCTCCTCAAGTGCTCGGTTACAACCTCTCCCTAGGCACGTCAACCGACGCCACTCCTCTTGGATTCGACCCCGTCTCTCACCACACACTTCTCTCGGTGTACAAGTGTATTACAAGTGAATCCTCACAATTAGGCACAATATGACAAATGATTGTTCTCTCTAACAAGGTGAGAACTCAATTAAGCACAACTCTTAGTCACAAACCCACAACCCCAAATTATACTATGAATGTAAATACAATAAGCTCAATAGGTTGTGTGTGAACAAAGAGATAAAACAATATAAACTCAATATGAAATCTAGCTTATGAAATTAAGAACAAACTTATAAAATGCTAGAATTGAGTTTAAGGAAACTTCTCTATAGATGACAAGAGAGAGGGAGAAGAATGAATGCTCAAACACCAAGGATGATCTCCACTTGCTCTTGTGAAATTTGCTCCACAAACCAAACTCTTGTAAATGCTTAAAAGCTTTTTAAACAAACACTAAAAACAAACTTAAACCCTTGATTAAAACTTTCTTAAACTAGTTTTAAAACTCTCTTGGTTCACTTGAAAAGACATCAGCAATGGGGTATATATTAGGCTCATGAAAACAAGATCTTAAAAACCAAGAAAAAACACACTCCAAATATTAAATAAACAAAAAACAGAACTAGCCATTACGTGCTAGCAACTGTGGGGGGCCGGCCCGGGGCGGCGTCGGTGCCTACAGTACTCGAGGTCGCACCGGAGTTACTGTAGCTCAGTGCTGCAGCTATTTTGTAAGATCAATTTTAAAATAGCTGAAATGAACTCCAAAAATTATGAAATTTTGTGAGAATGTTCTAGACATGTAGATGAAACATTGTTCATGAGAAATAATTTCTGAAAAATACTTTTCCCGTGAGAGAAATAAATATTTGCAACACAAATTTCATAGTTTTCTGCAAAAACTGTTAACATATACGGGATGTTTTTAAAATTCAATTCTGGGCCACAGTAAATCAACTCTAAAAATAGTAAAAATCTTTGAGGGAAGTTTGCATAAACATGTATATAAAACACAAAGAAATAATTTCTGAATATTCACTTCCCATTATGAAAACTCATGCGTAATTTTGTTAAAAACATGCAGAAACATCCTACGAACGAAAAACATGATTTTTGTGAAATTTCCATTAAACATAAACAAATCAATTTCCAAACTTGATGAAACTTTTACGACATGTTTGAGAAACATGAAACAAACAAAATGCTTAGAAAAGAATTTCTCAAATTTGAATTTTCATTTTGTGAAAACTCATGCTATTTTGCAAGTAGGTCCAAAACATGAAAAATCTAAAACCAATGCATTATATATATAACTATATATATACATAGAAACCCAAATACGTGTGTGTATATTATATGACTTAGAGTATCTAACACACATAATATAAATCCTAAACTAAAATTAATCCCAAGCTTGATTGGTCTTCAATAAGCTCTACTTGGTAATTCTCGCGGTGAGCAGCCTTGAACTTTGATCTTAAAACTTTGAACTGCAAGGCCTTCACCGACATTCCGCCAAACCTCCTTTGGAATGATCGTGAAGCTCTATTCCATCCATCCTCCAACTACGTTGGTTGTCTTACAATACCATACGGAAAACACAAATACTAGACAAACAACATTATGTGATAAATTGTTTGTTAAACATCGATCAAAACAAGAAGGCCCAACAAATATTCCAAATTAAGTCTTCTAAATCATGGATATTCTTATTATGGTCCTCTCAAAGCATCACATTGCCCATAAATAAGGACAAATTTTCAAAATCAACCAAATTCCGAGCAATTAATAGCAAAATCGACATTTGAACTTTAATTCAAGCAAAACCGACACCTTTTCTTCTGAAAAGGGTGCAGTCGGTTTTGTGGATCTGGCGAAAAATTTTTCACGACATACACGGGACTGCTAGTCGCCGTGTATCTTCGGAGCAGTTTCGAATAACACGGGACTAGCAGTCATCGTGCGCACGGGGGTGTAAAAAAACCACCCGCTAAATTCACCGCCACTCCTTTTCACCCAGACCCTTTCACCCCCCCCCCCCTTTCATCCCACTCCTCAAACCATCGACGCCGGACCACGACCACCGCCCAAGGACACTCCGACACCATCGCCTGCCGCCGACCAAGCGCCCTCCGACCACCGCCGCCGCCGACCAAGCGCGCTCCGACCGCCGCCCGACGATCAAGGTAAATGTGGTTTTTTTTTTTTGATTAGCCATGAAATTTCAGATTTGGGAATCGATTTGGGTAGAGATTTGGGAATTATGGTTGAGATTTGGGAATGGATTTAATTGAGATTTGGGATTAAAGTTGAAATTTGGGAATGTATTTAGTTGATATTAGGGAATTAGGGTTTAGTCATGAATAATGTGATTAGGGTTTAGACATGAATAATGTGATTTGATATTAGGGTTTAACCATAATTTAGACATGAATAATATGATTTGGGATTAGAGAATTTAGCAATTATTTGCTTTGTAGTTGAGATTAGGGTTTTAAATTTGACTTTAAATTAAGATTAATATTTACAGTTATAATAGATTATTTACATATGATGGACTGTTGATTTTCAGCTTCGATGGCAAACTCTATACCCATTATTTGCTCCTTTAATGGGAGCCTCGGCGTCGGATTGAATAGTATGCCGATGTATGAGGGAGGTTCTAGGAAAATATTTATGTTATCCAAGTCATTAAATTTTGATGGAATGATGAATGAAATATACAGAGTTACGAAAATTAATAAAGCATGGTATGCAATTAAAGTGTTCTTCAATTGTCCGATAAATGAGAGTAGAACTATTGCTGTGGCGATTACCGACGATGAGGAATTGAATGACATGAAACAATTAGTGGAGAAGCAAGTGTCAGTTGAGTTGTTCATTGAGAAGTATCCGATTCAAGAATTTGCCCAAGTTTCACGACCACAAGGAGAGTTTTCTCGGATGATGGACTTAGACAATGAGTCGAGTGGTTTTATGACATCTCCAAGTCAAGAGCCATGGTGTTAACTACAACATTTAAGTGGGCATTCTCTTGGTGGGACGTCAAGTACTATATTTAACGATGCATCGGGCTATGTTACGGGTGATCTACCGGCCGGATCAATTGTAGAAGAAGAAGTAAATGATGACTCAGAAGATATTGAAGAAGAAGACGTGCAAATTGATAGCATGCATGTGGCAGTTGGAATCGATAATGATTCTCGTTTGATGGATCAATTTAATGTTAACAATGATTATGTGGAAGTTGAAGATCCGTTGCCCGACGAGTTTCATAATGAATATTGGATAAATACTTCGCAAGCTGAATTTGTTGATGTTGGTCCAAACTTTCAACGGCCTGAAGACTTCACTTTTAAAAAAGGGGACCTATTCGAGAGCAAGGAAGCATTGATCTTTGCGGTGCGAGAATGGTCTATAAAAAATCAGGTCAAATTTAAGCCTGTAAAAACTAATACAACCAACTACTATGTAAAATGTTATTTCAACGAGAAGAATGAAGTAGAGCACTAATACAACCAACTACTATGTAAAATGTTATTTCAACGAGAAGAATGAAGTAGAGCATGCAAATGAGCAAGATGAGAGAAACAGGAAATGTCCTTGGTTGCTAAATGCCGCTGTGAGGAAATCAACAAATGGCCAATTTGTAATATCTAGATATTGCGGGCTTCATACATGTTGCAATCCGTCGGTGGACGTCGATCTAGATATTGCGGGCTTCATACATGTTGCAATCCGTCGGTGGACGTCGATCATTATTCTGCATCTTCCTCTTATATATGTAAGCTAATTATGCCTGAAGTTAGAGCTGAACTTGATCTAAATGCAAGTTAGATATTTCAAAGGGTGTATGATATGCGAGGCATTAAGATATCTAAATATAAGGCATATGATGCAAGGAGGAAAGCGTTGTCGAAAATATTTGGAGATTGGGAAAAATCTTATGAATTACTTCCACAGTATCTCGAAGCTATCAAGCGAAATAATCCGGGTACTGAATATGAAATATTGTCTGAAGAGATTGCACCGGGGATGGAGAGGTTCACTCGAGTATTTTGGGCATTTGGTCCGGCTATTAAGGGCTTCACTTTTTGTCGTCCGTTATTGAGCATTAACGGTACACATCTATATGACAAGTACAAAGGCGTGCTTCTTGTGGCGACCGGTGTAGATGCAAATGGCGGTTTATTTCCTCTAGCATTTGCAGTTGTGGAGGTAGAGGATACTTCTAGTTGGAAGTGGTTCTTTGAACTTATATACAAGTGGATTCCTAGTGTCCGTGCGCCCAGATTAATTACTTTTATCTCAGATAGGATGAAAGGAATTATAAGGGCATTACATGAGGGTTTTGGTGCACCACATCACCATCGATATTGTTTGAGGCATATAAGAGATAATTTTAAGAAAAAACACGGTGAGATTAATTTGCAAAATCTTTTGTGGCAAGCTGGGTGTGCAACCGATACATTAGTGTATGAACATTGTAGAGAGAAGATCAAGTCTTTGTCATTAGATGCACATAATTGGATTGAACATAACTTGAAGCCTCAATTCGAGCATCGATGGGCATTATGTAAGGATGAGGGTGTGCGGTTTTGCATGATGACAACTAATTGCTCCGAGAGCTTTAACGGCGTTCTTAAAGGAGCACGAGCTATGCCAATACAATCATTGGTTGCAAGAACGTTCTATAGGCTAAACTCATACTTCAACAAAAGGCGTGAGGACGGTGTAGACTGGACAACGCGTTACACACCAAAGAATGAGTCTATTTTGCATAGAAGAATTGAGGCGGCAAGATTATGTCAAATTACTGTATTCAATGACAATGAATGGCAGGTACAGGATTATGACGGTATCTACACCGTTAAACTGTTTGATGTTGATTGCACTTGCACATGTAACATACCACAACTTCAAAAAATACCTTGTGCACATGTTCTTGCGGCTTCCTCCAATCAGCCGGGTGGTGCGAGAATTCCATATAATCGGTATTGTTCACCATGGTATTCAACAATTCATTACCGAAAGACATACAGTGAGAGTTTTCATCCACCCGATGATAGTTGGTATTGGCCTGAATATACTGGATCACGGCTAATTCCACCTCAATACAAGAGACAAGCAGGTCGACCACGATCTGTACGAATTAGGGGAACCATAGATCAAGGACGAGAAGGAATTGTCAAGCATAAAAAATGTAGTCTTTGCAAACAACCGGGACATACTCGACCTCGTTGTCCAGCTAGACTCAATAGATAGCAATTAATTGGTAATAATTGACATATTCAAATTGTGATTTATTTTAATGTAGACAATATAATTAGTCGTGGATCGGTTATTGATATGTTATAATTGTATGTGCAGGTATATACACCATGGAGCCTGGACCGACGAGTGATGAGGTCCTATATGACCAGCCTCGACACCGTTCACATGTTATATCCTTTACAGAGGTAACTAAGTTTCGTATAATTTCAATATTGTATTCTTATAATATTGTATTCTTATATATTCATTTGCTTTACAGAGAGGCCCGGATATTGTTATGGTTAATCATAGCCTCAGCCATAGCCGTTGGCATCTAGAGGATGAGCGCATAATAGCAGCTGTAGGACGGGCCGACTTCTTGACATGTTCAAAGCTTCGTTGGATGAGGCTCGATTGGCCCCTACTCATCGCTTTAATAGATAGGTGGAGGCCGGAGACCAACACTTTCCACTTTCGAATGGGAGAGTCTACTATTATGCTACAGGATGTAGCTATGATACTTGGTCTCCGCATAGATGGTCCGTGCGTTACCGGCAGCGATAGACATTTTTGGCCGGACAAGTGTGAGGAGTTGTTAGGTGTAGCTCCAGAGTCAATGCCTGGAGGAAATATTAAATTGAAGTGGCTAAAAAATACATTCTCGGTACCGTTGCCTTTTGATGCGCCGCAAATATTGATTGAGCAACATGCACGTGCATACATTATGCACATGATCGGTTCAATATTATTTCCAGATTCGAGTAAAGATAAAGTGCATGCCAGGTATCATTTTTATCAGTATTTACAATTATGTCTGTTGATTTAGCTTATTTTGATAACAGAGTCAATGTTGTGAAAATGCTAGGTGGTTACCACTTATCGGGGACTTGGACACATGTGGTGCGTTATTGTGGGGTAGTGCGGTTTTGGCGTACCTATATAGAGAGATGTCTAAGGTTGCATTCATGAAAAATAGTGACCTCAAAGGATGTCTCAGCTTACTGCAAGTATGGGCATGGGAGAGGCTGCATTTGAAGCCGAGACTATGCGTGAATTTACAATTAGACGGACAAATTCCACTAGGATGCAGGTATTATATTTTTTAACGTAGTAAATATAATTGTAGTTATTCATTTGGTACTGAATTTTGAAACTAACACAGATGGAATGTCCAAAAATGTTTTGACGAGACCCCGGCGAGACAGTTAGATTTCTACCGAAATGAGCTTGACCGCATGAAGATTTTTCAGGTATCATTTCTATAAAAACGAGTTTTTTCTTCTATATATCAACTTTCGTTTTAATGATATGCAACAATTATATGTAATACTCTGTAGATGGAATGGGAGCCCTACACCCCATTTCTCGATCATCTACCCCCGATATGCACAGAATACCCAGTTATATGGAGAGCCAGAGTTCCTCTAATATGTTTCGAGATAGTAGAAATGCATGTACCGGACCGCGTGCTTCGACAATTTGGTCTTGCACAACATGTTCCGCAATTTGTTGAAAAAATAGAGAGGAAGGCGAAGAAAGGAGGCCAACAAAAGGACTGGGCAGCTGAGCATCAAAATTATATACACAGATGGAATGATAGACATTTTTGTATTGTTGAGCAAATCGAGCCAACTCCCCAGGAATCAGATTACTACACTTGGTATTGGAGGATAACTAGAAGATGGATACTCCATGCGACCACATCCCCGGTTGAGTTGCAAAGAGGATATGTGCCTCGGGGTATAGATGAGAGAGAATTAGTAAGTATTTTTAAATTTATTTTAAGTTTATTTTTATTAGAATTTTTCAATATTGCTAAATTATGTTTTTTTAAAAATTTGCAGGTATCAGCAATAGATGATGTTCAAACCATTGCAAATAGTGGCTTGGAATTGGCTCGAGCAGGTAATATAGAATTAAATATAAAATTTACATATTGTAATTTGAATTTTAAAGTAATTTTTGCATTTCGGATTTTTTTGAATTATCTCTCGCAGGTACATATCCCGAAGCACAGAAACATGCATCAATATATCAGTCGATAATGCAGAGGCTTCACCAAGCCTTACATCGAACTCATGAAGACCTTCATGATGGACGAGAAGTACCTCAATTAGTATACACACGTCAACAACGACACAGACGAGGACGACGCAGAAACGACAATGAAGCTGGGCCTTCCCAACGTGTTGACGATGGAGCTGGACCGTCACAACCACAAACGCAACCGGATCATGAACTCATCGAAGGTCGGGATAGAGGAGGCCGAAGACAAAGGAGGAGGAGAAGAGTTCTTGGATGTATGTAAGCTAATTGGTATTGTTATATAAATTACAATCCTATTTTGATATGTACATTACAAACGTATTTCGGGACAATAGATGGTTTTTGGATTTGTAGCTGAGATTGTGGTGTGACTTATTAGATTTGTAAGTGGGTTTGTGGCGTGATTTGTTGGATTTGGATTCGTAAGTTTGTGGCGTGATTTGTTGGATTTGGATTCGTAAGTTTGTGGTGTATTTTATAATTTTTAGATTTGATATGTGTTTATACAGGGAATTGACATATGAGTTTGTACAGGGAATTGATATATATTTATGCAATGGTGTAATTTATGATTGTTGTATTTGAAATATGAGTTTGTACAGGGAATTATCCCGTAGCAGAAATACTTCAGTGAACGTGCAGGAAATGCACGGGACTGCTAGTCCCGTGCATTTCATTGCGCCCAGGAAGTGCACGGGACTAGCAGTCCCGTGCACTTCATTTTTATAGAGATGTTAGTCTCTGCACAAAACACGGGACTGCTAGTCCCGTGTTATTCGAAACTGCCACGAAATACACGGGACTAGCAGTCCCGTGTATGTCGTAAAAATTTTTCGCCAGCAAAACCGACCCTTTTCAGAAGACTGAAAATGGTCGGTTTTGCTGATTAAAGTTCAAATAGGTCGATTTTGCTAATTAATTCTCGAATTTGGTTGATTTTGAAAATTTGTCCTAAAATTAAATCTCTCTGTTTAAGTAAACATTTATTTTGATAACTTGGGTTGAGTTAAACCTTAATCCCATATAGTTAATTATAATAGTGATCATTGGTTAAACTTTCCCATCTAGAACCCCTAATCACCACTCCCCTTGCCCCCTTTTATCGCGATAGATAACTAGAAACAAATTTCTTCTAATTTTATTTTTATTTAAATTGAATTCAAAATGCTACAGGACTAGTGATAATTTTCTTAGTTTACAGCAAAAATGTATTAAAAAAACCGTAAAACGAATAGAAACTCCTAACACAAGGTTAAAATTCAAGGGTATAATGGGGAAGTCATCACTACAAGGTAGATTTAAAGAAATAATCTTTTAGATCTAATTATTGTCAACCAGCTGGGACCTAATTGTAAGCAGTATGATTATTTGAGGGACATATATGAATTATCATGATGTGGAGGACTAATTTGAAAATATTAGCGATGCGAGGGACTAATATTGAAATAACCTTTTTTTTCGTCGGGCGTCGGGCATTGGGAGAGGACTACATAGAAAATTTTACCCAGAATTTTTTGCGGCGGCGGCTACATAAAGAACTTCAGCCACAATGTGATACACGGATTCCATAGAAAATGCTCTGTTTTTTACTACTTGTGCTGGAACGTAAAATTGTAGTTCTAGGTTTTCATCATAATTTTAAAGTTTTAATATAATACGTTGGTGCCTTCTTTCTCTCGCTTACCATACTGCAATAATTTTAAGATGACTTAGGTTCTAATTTTGTGTTCACGACTTTCGAAGTGGATTTAAAAAAAAAGATATCGCTCAAAGAAGGTGGACTTTGGCTGATAAAAGGGCCTTCGGGCTATGTGATCATGTTGGAGATAAAATAAAATCCTCAAGCTTCAACCAATAGTATAGACATTAATCATCGCCACAAGTTCAAATTTTAATTTGGTGTAAAATCAGAGAATTAAAGAGATTGCATTGCTTCTCAATGTTGTAATACAGGTAAATATAGATATAGGATGTGAACAAGATGAAATGACGCTAAATCAACTCAAAAGCTGATTTTAGCACTACCTCTATTAGTGGTAGGTCACTGATCATCGACGGTAAGTAATGACCAACGATGGTACTATGACTCATCGATCGTGTCAAAGTCTAGAGACATGATTATCATCGGTGGGCTTCTCAACAATCAACGTTCTCCTGACACTATTGATAGTCGAGAGCCACTATTGATGGTAAAGTTGGCAAATTGTGTTGTTCCTTGTTTATATATATACTCCAAGTTCTTTCGTATATACTCCAACGTTCTCCTGACACTATTTGTTGATTTAATCTCGTTGTTCCTTGTTTATATATATACTCCAACTTCTTTCATGTTTAGAATATATCTTTCCTGACCTAACTTTACGTGAGATTATACATTGAAAGAGAGAGAAAAAAGAGGAGAATTCTAGGGTTTGATATTTGAGAGATCAAGTTGAAAGTTTTGATTCCTGGAGCCTCGACAAACTCTTACTTGAAGTGCACAAGATCTTATGATCATATTAGCAAGAAGTGTTGCCATTGGATTTGATTTTCTTCATCATTATTCATCAAGCTTCGCTTATGTCCTTTAAGGAACTATTTGTTTTAACAAAAGGAATATAAGATTATTCTTTTATTCTGAGCTTATTATATGTGTTTGGTTTTACTTCGAACTTCTTTTACGGCATACCCGGGCTAGTTGATTTGAGGGTTGGGATTAGAAGGGCTAGGAGTTACTCATTGTGGTAGTTAGGTTAGACGACTGGTTTCGAATAGAAACTAGGGTGCAGTCTTGTAAGCATACTAAATTGGATTTGTGATTCAAGTGAGCTCTTCGCATAGTGAGGAAGCTCTTTTGCAAGAAGGAAGAATAGGCGCATGATTGTTTATTCGAACCACTATAAAATCTCATATATTCTTATTGGTTGGTTGCTTTTTGTCCAATGATCTTGAAGTTTGGAGTATTGTTAAAACTAGCTATAGAGAACCAACTACTACTGTTAAAGAGGCTACTGTAGTCACACTTAGAGATAAGTGGACCCCTGGTGGTAAAAAAACTTTACTCTTTGAATGCAAAAGCAATAAATGTTCTTTATTATTCTTCATCTATTGAAGAATTTAAATGTGTGTCTAATTCTTCTACTATGCAGGAAATTTGAAACACTTTAGAAGTTATGCACGATGAAACTTCACATATAAAAGAGGTGAAATATATAATTATTATGAGTAAGTACACAAATTTCAAAATGAAGGCTTTGGAGAGTATACATTGTTGGCCTTCTTGTTTTGATAATGATTAACAAACAATTTACAGCTAATGTTGTTTGTCTAGTGTTTGTGGTTTTCTATTTATTGTAGACAAATAACAAGTTGGAGGATGGATGGAATAGAACTTCAACGATCATATCCAATGGAGGTTAGAGGAATAGTGGAGTGAAGCAATGTACATTCAAAGTTAAAGATCAAGTTCAAGCTTCATTCGCAAGTGTACCAAGTCGAGCTTATTGAAGATTAAGATCTAGCTTGGGTAACTTAGTTTAGGTTGTATATTATGTGTATTAAGTACCTTAAGCTCAATATCATATACACACACGTATTTGGTTTCTATGTATATATATAGTTATATATATGCATGCATGGTTTTGGGTTTTCATATTTTGACCTATTTTGTAAAATGATGATATTTTTTATTTGGGAAGTCCTTTTTGGAAACCAGTCATTGTAGCATGTTTATTATTATGTCTACAATCATTCCCCAAAGTTTTATATTTTTTGAAATTTCTTTGATATTTTTAAACAGTATTTTAAAATCAGAAAACTGTTTCTAAACTTCTATTTTCATATGTCAGTTCACGGTCGACCGCCACGGTCGACCACACCTGAGTCTTTTCTATAGTGGGAAGCAGAAACTCTCGCGGTCGACCGCCACGGTCGACCGTTAATGCTGAATTCCTCACGGTCGCCCGCCGCGGTCGACCGTCGAACTCTCTGGAGTCTTTCCTGCTTTTTTGTTGCTCGCGGTCGAACGCCGTTCAGCCCAATGGCTATATTGTACATAATCTCATTTCTGATTCTGTGGGGGGTTTTTGGTCTTTTGCTTGGGGCTTTTGGCTGAGATCTTGGGAGGCTATAAATACCCCATTGATCTCAGTTCTCAAGATATCCAAGAAGTTTTTTTAAACAAGTTTTAAATAAGGGTTTAAGTGTGTTTTAGTATTTGTTTGGTTTGTTTTTACAAAGAGGAGCTTACATCAGTTGTTGAGGAGTTCATCTTCAACATTTCATCATTCTCTCTTTGTATTTATAGAGAAGTTTTCTAACTCTTTTCTCTAGCAATTTCATTATTGATTTTCATACTATTATTATTGCTAGTTTGATATTTGAGTTATTTTATTCATTGTTACACACACCCACATTGAGCTTATTGTATTTTTCATACATAGTATATTTAGGTTGGTGAGAGTTGTAACAATTGAGTGTGAGCTTTCATTATGTTCTCGTCCATAATAGAGAATAATTATTTATTGTAATTGTGCTTATTGTGAGATTCACTTTGTAATACACTTGTACACCGAGAGAAATATGTGACGAGAGTCGGGAATCATCCCAAGAGGAGTGGCGTCGGTTGACGAACCTAGGGAGAGGTTGTAACCGAGCACTTGATGGAGACACGGCTAGGTCCAACACTTGTGAGGGTGTAGAGTGGGTTTGCAAGAGTGTGAGTTGTAGAGTTTTCGGTTAGCTAGAAAACCGAGTGTGTAGAAGTTCTGGCTTCCAAACCGGATTATGATAGTGGATTTCTCCCCGGGAGTGGGGAGCGGAGATGTAGGACGGAAGGTCCGAACTCCGTGATCATTTGAGTGTGTTTGAGTTTGTCATTGGCGCATTTGCTTTTGTATTTATCTTATATCGCCAATTGTGCATTGCTCATTTTATTTTATCCACTATCTTGTTTATGTTTATTTCACCCTTGTGTTAGTTTATATATCCTTGCATATATTTTTATCATATAGGATATATCACATTTTTTATTTTGCTTATCCTAACTCATATATCTTGTTGTATTTCATACTTACTAGGATAACTTGTTAATTAATTTTAATTGGCATAAAATCGGATTAGATTAACATAAGATTCTAATCACCCCCCCCCCCTCTAGGGTCTAACATACAGGACATGTTCTCCATATTCACAGATATTGTGAATAATTCAAAGGCTTTGGGAAAGGAACATGATAGCAAGGAGCTTGTGAGAAAAATTCTTCATTCTCTTTCTGGGGATTGGAAACCAAAAAGTAACGGGTATTGAAGAACTAACTTTTGAGAATCATATAGGGAATCTTCTCACATATGAAGTGCATTTGAAAGAAAGAGAAGAAGATTCAAAAAATAGCCACAAGAAGAAGTTGTTAACTTTGAAAGTGAAAAGAAAAAAAAT